CCCTACACTCTATACATACTACAAAACTCTATAAACATGCTTTCATTTTTTCATTAGTTTGCCAAAAGTATTTACTATTAAACTGTGTCAGGGCAAACACTGAATTTACCTTCATTAAAGCAGTTTCACCACTGCTCTGCTGCATGTTCACATATGCTCCAGCTTCCAGAAGAATAGCTACTGTTGTTAGAAAATTCTGAAAAACACCCCCAAAACCACAGGACAAGTAAGTAGAAAATACTCTGATTTTGTTTCAGAATATGAAGTGACATTTATTTAAAATCCATTAGTAAAATCCAAAGCATGAGACATGACACAATTAACATTGTTCTCTCCCATGGCTAATAAAGAGCAATTCAGACTCAGGCAAGTACACAGGCATGAGTATTTACTGTTCTTACTTTTTTCTAAGTCTTGCAATAGTGAATACCAGAGAAAGAAAACATTAATCACCAAACTGGACTCAAGCTCCCTTTTGTCCCTGTATCTACTGTACATGGGAAAACACATGACCCAACTTGAACAAAAGAGCCCATCCATGAAACATCTTCTAACTTAGCAGTCTAGTTGGTCTTAAGTTTGAGAAGAGCTTACCGTCATCTCCCATCTCTCAAATAGTAAACCCTACTTAATCAGAGATTTGCTCTCAAAGCCTCCGAAGTTTGGACCCTGTGTAGCTAGCCAGAGATCATAACAAGCAATTCTAACACAAGAACTTCAGCTCGTTCTGACAGACAAATTCAGATATATCCTTTGCCTCCACTTTCCCTCTAGGTAGCCATATGATATTCTCTACTCAGGGTAGTGTTTGCAATCAGAATTTATTTACACTACAGTAACCACAGCTGCTGAAATTATGTAGTTAAGGTCACCAGGCTATATCCTGCTACCTACTTTTCAGGCATCATCCAAGGGATAAAAAAAACGTATACCACTTTTAAACATAAGTAGAAGAGCCAAGAACCACAAATACAACAATAATCAAGCCAACCTTTTCAGCTGCATGTATCAATGCAGTTGTTCCATTTTTCTGTCTACCATTAATTTTAGCTCCTTTCCTGATTAAGAGCCGGAGAAGGTCATCGTGCCCACCAGCAGCAGCAAGCATTACTAGGGTCATTCCACTTGAGTCCTGCAACAAGAATCATTGCCATTAAAAAGAAACCCAATCAAATACATTAAGATAAATCAAAGCCGCAAGACAAAAATTGCAAGTGCTTCAACAGGTTTCATAAAGATTCTTCTCACTGGCAGAAGAATTCACACATACATGGCTACCAGATATTGACAAAGTATCACCACCCACTTCTCTTGTCCACAGGCATCATGCTCTAAGCTCCACAATCTGCAAAACCTGTAACATTCTGAGGAGCAGAACAAGAAGGAGGAAAAACAGAACGAGCCAGAAAGAAAGGCAGGAAGGTATTTGAGGGTGGGGAAGACAGCAAGACAGTGGAAAAAGAAATCAGCAGCCACTGAAGGAAAAAGACAATGGCTCAAGTCAGCTGCTACCACAATGCTGCTTTTGGATTTTATCAGAGTGTAAGTATGAAAAGACTTCTGTGAGTGGCCAGTGTCCTCACTCATTCTTGCATTTTCCACCAGACACTACAATTCACAGAACACATGCTTGCCTCAGTAGTTCATTTGGCATCTTTTCTATTATGCTACAGAAGTTTTAGCATAATGTGTAGTTCTCAAAATGCTACATAATACAGCTACACAAGATCAACAGTGAAAATACTGATATCAGAGATTTTAGTCCTCAAAAATGGAACTACTTAACATGAAACTACATCCTTAAAAGAAAACCAGTAGGAACACAGATGATGAAGAACTGGCGTAAAACTAATTATTCATGGAGTGAAGTGGTCCCAGTCTGTCAAACACAGCATTTAATTTTTTTTTCCCACATATAGATGTTTTATATAGTTTACCCACTTGACCTGATGCGTATCATTGTTCCTTAATCCATGTAAAGTTCTAAATTTAATAGTCAGTTAAATCCAGTGGGCAAATCTGCTGCAAATCCAGCTATGGATGCTTCTATCAAACTTTACTTCTATCAAACTCCGTTTTTTCTTTGGAAGAAATGGAGAACAAATATTGAAGCCTCAAATTCTGTACTCCCTTCTCTCACCTTGTGCTTTTTTCCCCAGGGTGAGACAGAAACATGCTACTAGCAAGAGGGGAAAGCATTTCAAACAATCCAAAATTGCACTCTTACCTCCCCCCTCCCCCTTCTACTGCAGAAAAATTACCTCTTGATCTAGATTATATTCCTCACTTGAAGAAAGTGCCATCTTCACGGTCATATAATCTCCACTTTTAACAGCATCCCTCAGGAGAGCTAGAAAATAAATTCAATGCAGTTAGAGGATATTTCACTTTGAAACATCAGCTAAGAAATGCCCCATCCTCCCAGCAACTACTCACTACTGGTTATTGGTTCTGTTGTCACATGATTCTCATCTTCTCCATCAAGATGCTTCTGAAAGTCTTCTAGTGTCAGCCATTCTAACTGCATGTCCATACCCAGACTCAAGACTTGTTGCTTGCCATCTATCATGTATTTGATTTTATGGAAGAAAAAAAAATGTAAAATAAGTATTAAGTAACTTATAAATTTCCAAATCACTCACTGCTTGCCATTGCTTCAATAATCATCAGCTTAACGTACTAGTACTTTTCATTCAAATATACTCTGGAACTCAGCATGGAATGGTTCCAAACAATGAAGGCTGCATTACAAACAGACATAAAATGCTTTTATTTGAAACGAACTGTTTATTTGTTGTAATAAATTGGGCTGAAGTGATAAGAAATGGTGAACACTCCATTACTGTAATAGCAGAAACACACTGGAAACACACTGAAAAGTTATCAGCGAGTTTCAAAAGAAAACATCATTTCAGCCTCCTGGGGAGACAAGAATTGGAGCACTAAAAGATGCAAGGAGGAATGGAGAAAATATTAACTGCCAGCGCTCAACTTTCCCCTGCATTTGTTTCTACTGCTCACCAGAGTTCTCCATTTGACACACATCCACTACTTCTCGATCACCTTCTGCAGCAATGTAAGTCCATGTGTCTGTTTCATCTCTTATGTTCCTCTTTTCCTTGCACACCTTGCTGTCCTTTGATTTTATTTCTTCTATGAATTTATATTCTATCGAAGATTCTTCTCTTTTGCTGTTATTCTCAGAATATTCACTTTTTTCTTCTGAAGCTACATTAAACAAGTCAAATGCACTTTTGATGTCCTTAAAGCCTAGAATATTAAGACAGTTACCAAGAGTGACTACTTGAGCCACTAAAGACTATTACATAACAAAGTTTAAGTGAGTGACCAGAGTCCATTTAGAAAACATCTGTTCTCTTTCCGTAAGTTAATCATTGCTAAAGCATAGGAGCAAGCTTAACAACGTAAGCCAAAAATCAGGGACAGCTAGTTCACCTCCAGCTACCCTGGCAAGTCTGAGTTCTGACTGCTTTCAATACAGTACCATCTTCTTTTTAAGAAATGTAGTTTAGAATTACGTGTAAATTACTACTTTGAAAATATGGTTCACTATCTGTGATAAGCAGAGAAAGGACACGAGCTATATAAGGAACAATTATTAATCATTCTGTTTGTTACTACTTTTCTTAAGCATTGTAAGCATCTATGCTATATTCAGTGAAAGATGTTTCTCTAGCAACAGCTATTTGAAGCATCATAGCTCCTCCTATATCCATTCATGATTGTCAAAGGTGGAGTCACCTAGCTTTCCTCAGTTCATCCTCATCAGAGTAGTGAAATAAAGTAATCTAGATTTTTACTGAGATCAACAGTGGTAACACTAATACTCCATTATACTACCAAGAATAGAAATACACCCTAGACATTTTTCTTCATGTATCAAATAATCCAGTTCTGGTCATGTTTTAAGGCTTGCATAATGTAACTCATCACCATGGCTAAAGCAAGAGGCAAGAAGTTTGTCTGATGAGAACTTCTACTAGTTTTTCTAAACATAGAAAGGGTATATTCATAATACCACCAGAACACTTCAGGAAACAGCCAATAGTCAGATGAATTCCTCTAAAAAAAGATTAGTGTTACATGCCACAGAAGCATAGTTGACAATATTAAAAGCAAAAGAGCAAAATTTTGACTTGCCTATGAAAATGTTAAGAGATTTATATACACATCCATGCTTCATACATGAAAGTACATACAGCATTCTCATGAAGCATATATTAACAAAGCCATTAAACAGCAGACTTTTGCTTCTTAAAATAGAAGCAAAAATTCTTGTTTTTCTAGTATGTGTTACAAAACTATACAGTATCCAGTCTTGTAGAAATAAGAGGAGAATGTCCTGACGGGGCTTTCCTTTCTTTCTTTTAGGCAGTAAGTACTTACTTTTTAGGCCCTTTTGCTCTTTTCTGCTCTTTTCTTCTTTTTCAGACTCTTTTTTTTGAGATTTTTCTTTTGTTTCAGTTTTCTTTGCTTCTTTCTCCTGATATTGAGAACAAAGGTCAAGTTAAAGTGGTAGAGAAAAAAAATAAACTCCTTTCACCACTCCAACAATAAAATATATTTAAAATTAATACTATTGAAATCTGTACATAACAGACTGGTGTACATTCCTAAGAAAAGAATTCAAAAGGTGACTCAGGAGTTAAGTCTGTGAAGGTTTCTTCCATAAGAGAAAAGGTGTATACTTCCAAAATAAAACAACTTCAATTCAGACTTTTACTGCATCCCAGCCATGCAATATGCTTTATGGCATGAGGTGCAGATATGCCAAAACCAGTATTTTGTATCAACTTTTCATTTGTTCCAAATACTGCACCTGAATAGAATGTAATTAGTTCAAAGTATTTAACACCTTTGTAGCACCATATTCAAAGCGGTTATCATAGCAATGACTTGAACCTTAACTGAGAAAACTTGACATTTGTGTACAGCAGGTTCCAAGTTTTCCAATATACACATACAGAACATTACGGCAACAGTCATTTGTGAAAAACAGACACTAAAAAAAAATTCACCCAAACCCACCATATCCTCACAGAAGATTGAGCTTAGTAACATCCAATAGCACAAAAGAAATTTATGGTAGATATAGATATATAATCAAATTAGAATTCAACTCACTCTACCAAAGGTTGCCTTTCTCCTCCTGTAACCCTCTCTCCATTCAGCCAGCAGGTGGGACAAGGCTCCTTGGCATGGCTTTGTATCAGCCCCTGACACTAACCTGGTACATGGAACAGCACTGACTTTCTGAAAAACTGCCCCAAAAGTCGTCCCCACAAGAACTACATACTGAATTTATCATTAAATATTACCATTTATTTGACATAGGAAAAACTTAAATTATAATAGATTAATTTTGTATATCATGTGTTAGCAGAGTCGAGACATTTGTCTTCCTCATCCCTTCCCCTCCCTGCCCAACCCTCAGCTTTTGATGACTGACTTGATGAACTAGTAGCAGACAGCTGTTAATCCCGGCAGATGCCCAGTATTTAGGGGGAGATCTGTAACTTACTAATGGATTACCAGCTATTTGCTACACAGAGGGGCTGTTAAAATCAGTAATACTGAATTCTATTCCAGATTTCCGATACTGATCAGATGCACAATGTACATTGCACATTTATTTTTGGAGGAAAATTGAATGGAAAGAATGGTTCGGTATGCAAAATGACTCCAAACAGAGAACACTGTATTATAAATTGACATGACAGCGTTCTGTAATCAGAGCTACATAAGGAAAGACAGGTAGCTGAAGCGTATTGCAAGGATTGTATTTGAAAAGAATAATCTGCTTGAGACAACAATTTAGTGAAGGCAAAAAACCTCCATAGCTCTCCACCAAACCCCTCCACATAGTAAGCCCACAGCTGCTCTGGAGAATAACTAACCACTTACAGAAAACATTGTTTAAGCCTCCCAGACTAAAAAAAGCAAAAAGCAGAATGCGTTCCTTGCTTCCTTGGAGCATCACCTTCCATGGAGCACAACCAGGAGAAAGGCATACAGACAACTTACTGAGAGTACTGGCTGAAGACCCACAAGGAAACCAACTTTCATGTGCTGTTGATTTCTTCATGTTTGGGGTGACAGGATTCTTATACTACTGGTAAATAAAACAGAATTCCAGCGATTTATCTAATTATCATCACTGATGTCTCTCTCTTATGAATGCTATAGCCTTGAACTATGAGAAAATACTTGAGTAATAAAGGGCCATACCCTTTCAGCTAATTAACTTTTTGAAACTGGGCTATGCCTCACAGTAATTGCTTAACCTTGTTTACAAAAGCTTTCACCACTAAGCTCCTGCAAAAACACTATTTTGTGTAGCTCTACTCTGAGATTATGCCACGTAATTCTCAAAATCAACTTCCTCATGTTTAAGGTGGCCTACTCCATACACACAACAATCTTAAGCAGAGGACCACAGCTGAATCTACAGAAGAAACTTGTCACCATGGAATTATGGCCTCAGAAGAAGTGGGATATAATCCAGTATCAAGGTATTTTGGCTGCAATCCTGTTACAAATCAGAAAGGGGCTTCTCTGAGCAGCCGAAGTTTTATGAACTGCAAACTGTATTAGAACAGTCTGAAGCAGCTGAACAAAATTACATTCTCAGAAACATTCCAGAAATAGTTTTATTTTTTTCATTATTTTTTTCTTTTACCTTTACCATCCTGCTTTGCTTAAAACACTACTGTACATAAATACATATTCCAGTATTTGCTTAGCTCATTTCTTAGAATAGGTACAGCATTTGTAATTAATATGAAGCTAAGCATTTTCTTTAAGCACCCCAGAAATTCTAACAAGACAAGCCAGCTGCACAATTATCTGTGAGTTGGGTTTAGAAGCAATTTCAGCATTCCAGTTCTCAGGTAGGTGCTAACACATGTATGGTTTAATGGAGCGGCTGGCTTTTGAGAGAGATCAAGTGCATGTTTTAGCTTGAAAGTGCACTTCATTGTGCAGTGTTGGATGGATAGTTGCTCAAGACTGAATGTCTTACTACACAAGTAGAAAAGAATCAAACTGAGGCAACTGTTGAAGGTGAGGGGAACAAAGCTAAAAATGACAGCATGCTTGAAGGAACAATAAATTTCATTCTAAGTAAGTAGACATAAAAACCAGGAGAAATTCATACTTTAACATTTAAAGACACCCTTCTCTCCTGAAGTGTTCAGAATACAGAAATTTTTCTGTTTCTTCTATACATTGTGCAGTGGGTCTTTCTTTAGCTTCATCCAGCTCATTACTTTCCAGTGTGTATTTTTCTCTTTTGACATCATGAACAGTAGCCTTTTGATATACCTGTACCTCAAAGATGTTTGATTTAATCCCCAGCCCCCACCCCAATGTCTTAACATTGCTTACCTCCCCAGTTGAATCAGTGGACTTGCGCCCTCTTTCATCAGCACTCCATTTCACACCCTTCTGCACTGGTGAAGGAGTAGGTGACACTTTCTCCAACTCTCCTGGTACCATTTTTACTTTTTCTTGACCTTTTTGCCTTTTGTGCATGATTTTCTTCTCTAAGTAGATGTCTTGAGTTTCCACTTTTCTACCTTCCTCTTTATAATCTTCAGCTTTCTGAATTTTTTTCTTCTTTCTTTTAACCTTAACATCAATATTATCATCTTCATTACTTGCTGATCCATCAAGACACCTATCAGCAATGGAATCTTTTTCAGCAATTTCTTGCTCTAATCTCTCTTCTCCACTAATTAACTTTTGCTTCTCATCTTTATTTTCAGAATTTAATTCTGAATTTTCATTATCAGTTCCTTGAGAAAATATATCATCTAGAGTACTTGATTCTGAGTCAAACAGAACATCTCCATGTTTCTCCTTCCGTGACTTTTTATTTTCTTTAGAATCTTCTTTAGATTTTATTTTTAAGTCTTTAACTTCTCCCTTCTTCTTCTTGATTCCCTTAGTATCTTCTTTCCTTTGCTTCTTTGGGTCCTTTGAATCCTCCTTTGTTTCTGAAGTCCTTTTTTTTGGTTTTGAATCTGAAACTAAAGTATCTGAGGAATTTTCACATTCTGTTCTAAGTTTTTCTTTGAGTTTTGCAGACTTAGACTTTTTCTTCTTCAGATCATCTGGACTTCTATCCTCTCCATCTTTTGACTTCTTCTTTTTCTTCTTTGGTGAAACATCACCTTTAGTTTCACTTTGCCACTCACTGTCAGATTCTGCTTCAAATACATCATCATTTAAAGATAGTTTCTAAAAGATAGGGGAAAAGAAGAAAAGATATATTTACTCATTAAAATGTATCACATTGGTGATACAAAATGGTAGCAGTGGTGCTCGGGAAAAGTAAATCTCATTTTAAACAGTGCAAACATCACTCCTCATTGCAAAATTGTAAAATCTGTAAACACAATTCTAGCTCACTTACCTAAATTACATTGCTAACTCCTTGTATGAGAATCAACACATAGAATCATAGAATCTCAGAATAGTTTTGGTTGGAAGGGACCTTTTAAGGTCATCTAGTCCAACTCCCCTGCAATGAGCAGGGACAGCTTCAACTAGAGTAGGTTGCTCAGAGCCCCGTCCAATCTGACCTTGAATGTTTCCAGGGATGGGGCATCTACCACCTCTCTGGCTAACCTGTGCCAGTGGTTCACCTCACTCACTGGGAAAAATTTCTTCCTTATATCTAGTTGAAATACACCCTCTTTTAGTTTAAAACCATTACCCCTTGTCCTGTCACAACAGACCCTGCTAAAAAGTTTGCCTCCATCTTTCTTTCTTGTAATCCCCCTTTAAGTACTGAAAGGCCACAATAAGGTCTCCCTAGCACCATCTCTTTTCCAGGCTGAATAACCACATTGCGAGCTCATGTCCAGCTTTTCATCCACCAGTACACCCAAGTCCTTCTCAGCAGGGCTGCTCTCAATCCCTTCATGCCCCATCCTGTATGGATACCAGGGGTTGCCCCAACCCAGGTGCAGGACCCTGCCCTTGGCCTTGTTGAACCTCAGGAGGTTCACACGGGCCCATTCCTCGAGCTTGTCCAGGTCCCTCTGGATGGCATCCCATCCCTCAGGCATGCCAACTGCACCATGCAGCTTGGTGTCATCTGCAAAGTTGCTGAGGGTGCACTCGATCCCACTGATGAAGATCATTATCATTGGTGAAGGTATTAATACCGGTGTCAATATGGACCCTTGAGGGACACCACTTGTCACTGATCTCCATCTGGACATTGAGCTGTTGACCACTATCCTCTGGATGCGACCATCCAACCAATTCCTCATCCACCCAACAGTCCCCCCATCAAATCAATACCTCTCCAATTTAGAAAGAAGGATGTTGTGGAGGACCATTTCAAAGGCCTTACTGAAGTAAGGCTACATCTGTAGCTCTTCCCTTGTCCAGTGATGTGGTCACTCCATCCTAGAAGGCCACTAGGTTGGTCAGGCAGGACTTTCCCTTGGTGAAGCCATGATGGCCGTCTCCAATCACCTCCCTGTCTTCCACGTACTTTAGCATAGCTTCTAGGAGGATCTGCTTTATGATCTTCCCAGGCACAGAGGTGAGGCTGACAGGTTGGCAGTTCCCAGGGTCCTCCTTTAGACCCTTTTTTAAAAATGGGTGCAATGTTTTCCTTTTTCCAGTCTCCAGGGCCTTCACCTGACTGCCAGAACTTCTAAAATCTCATGGACTGTGGCTTGGCAACTGCATCAGCCAATTCCCTCAGGACTCTGGGATGCATCTTGTCAGGTCCCAATGACTTGTGTATGTTCAGGTTTCTCAGGTAGTCTCAAATCTCATCTTCTCCGATGCATCTTGGGACTTTGCTCCTCCAGTCCCCATCTTGCAGTCCATCCACTCAAGAGGTGTGGGAAGAGAGACTGCCAGTGAAGACTGTGGAAAAGAAGTCATTGAGTACTTCGGCCTTCTCCTCATCTGTTGTTACCAGCCTGCCAGTCTTGCTCATCGCAGCGGGTACACTTTCTTTGACCTTCCTTTTCTGTCTGACATACCTGCAGAAGTCCTCCTCATTATTCTTGCATTGCTTGCCAAGTTCAGCTCCAGCTGTGCCTTGACCTTCCTGACTCCATCCCTACAAAACCAGGCAGCATCCCTGTACTCATTCCAGGATACCTGTCCCTGCTTCCACTGCCTGTGCATTTCCTTCTTGCCTTTTAGTTTTGATCAGCAGGTCTCAAACCATCCATGCTGGTCTCTTGCCTTCCTTTCCTATTTCTTACACCTGGGGATTGAGAGCTCTTGCACTCTGTGGAAAGCATCCTTAAAGATCTGCCAGCTCTGTTCTGCTCCCGTGTCCCCACATTCCAGGATACCTGTCCCTGCTTCCACTGCCTGTGCATTTCCTTCTTGCCTTTTAGTTTTGATCAGCAGGTCTCAAACCATCCATGCTGGTCTCTTGCCTTCCTTTCCTATTTCTTACACCTGGGGATTGAGAGCTCTTGCACTCTGTGGAAAGCATCCTTAAAGATCTGCCAGCTCTGTTCTGCTCCCGTGTCCCCAAGGGCAGTTTCCCAGGGTGTCCTATTGACTAACTCCCTGAAGAGCTGGAATTTTGCTTTCCTAAAATTCAGTTTCCTGACTTTACTCTTCACCTGTCCCATATCCCTCAGGACTGCAAACTCCACCAGTGCATGACCACTGCAGCCCGGGCTGCCTCCTATCTTGACATCACCAATTAGCTCACTTGCATTGGTGACCAACAGGTCCAGTATCACATCCTCTCTGGTAGGGCTGTCTATTACCTGGCTTAAGAAGCATTCCAGGAGTCTCCTGCCTACAGCTCATCATGCTACTTTTCCAACAGATGTCAGGGTGGTTGAAGTCCCCCAGCAGGACGAGAGCCTGTGAGCGCAATGCTTCCAGTAGCTGGAGTGAGAAGCTTCGTCAATAGGCTCCCCTTTATCGGGTGGCCTGTAGTAGACAACAACCACAAAGTTCCCTTTGTTGCCTCAGTCTCTGATTCTTACGCATAAGCTTTACAAGCTGCCTGTGGCTGTTCTTCAGAGACAGCTCTTCACACTTTATCCATTTCTTGATGTAGAGGGCAACACCTCTGCCCTTCCTTCCTTACCTGTTCTTTCTGAACAGCCTGTAGCCATCGATAGCCACACTCCATTCATGGGATTCATCTCCCCCAAGTTTCAGTAATGGCAACCACGTCATAGCTTTCTAGCAGCATGGTGGCTTCTGACTCCTCCTCTTTGTCACCCATGCTGTGTGCACTGGTGTAGTTGGCTGGGCTGTCAGCCATGTCACCTTCCTAGAGGAAGGCCCCTTAATTCCTTTGAGGTATTTCACTCGTGTTTCCCTGTTGGCTACTATTACCTCAGGATCCCCTGGCTCTTCTCCGTAAGACTTCAAGTGTGCTGCAGTGTAGCCAGCACATCTCAGAGCAACAGGCTGAGGGCCCTCGCTAGCACCCTGTGCCTCCAACCACGGTGTGTCATCCCACAGCTTGTCATGAGCAAGTCTGATATTATCCCTCTCCCTGTTCAAGTCTAGTTTAAAGCCCCATCAATGAGCCCCACTAGCTTGGGAGCAAAGACCCTCTTCTCTCATTGAGAAAGGCAAATCCCATCTGACACCAGCAAGTGTATATAAACAAATCAAGTAAACCAATCAGACATCCAACAACCAGATTCCAGAACAGAACTAAATCTGAACTATTTTACATCAAAAACAATTAACCTGATTTTGTAAAATTTACCTATAGGTTCCCCAGAAGTAAGGTACCAGTTTTCAAAAAAGATTCTTACGCTTGATTTTGAGACTGACCGAGCAGTTAAAAAAAGAAAAGGCCATATGCTGCCTTCTTGCAATTAATTTTTCTGTATTCCTATCTTACCAAATTTAACCGTTAACATGCAAAAATTCATGAATCTGCTACACGAAGCAGGAGGGTGAATTGAGCAATGCCCAGCTTCAGTGACAAGACAATATGTGTGCAGGTAGGGAAGGGGGGGGTTATGTTGTCAAAAACAAACTAAAATGACCATAGATCCATAGTCTCATTAAAAACTGAAATAAAGTTTAGATGGATTTAGAGTCTACAAGCAAACCTCTAAATTAACCAGGGAGCAGTAACAATATACAGTTTCATCTGAAATAAGACACTTTTAAATCTAAGAGATTCTTTAAGCTGCCTTAATTCCATATCCCAAACATCTTCCCTTCTCTCTCCCCCCATTAGCAGAGCCTAGATAGGGAATAGGTCTTCAGTGTAAGATACTGGAAGGTGAAACACACCTGTATGTCCTTTTTAACAGGTTTAGGCTTATTGTCCACAATTTTTTTTCTGAATTCAAGCAGCACTTCTTTGCAGTCTTCCAAATGAACCTCTGGTTCCCAGGTATCATCATCAGAAGTATAGCCTTTCCACCGTACTTTGTAGAGAATTTTACCCTGTAAAAAAAAAAACCCAACATTTAATACAATACAGCATAGTATTGCATCATCTACTCAATTCTTGGGGATCTCAGTGGATATATAATTTTGGGTATATAGAAATTTATATAATGGGAGCTCAACCCAATGTTCACGTAAGAATTCCCAGAATTATTTCCATCTGCATCACATACTGAACTAAGTAGGTTTTAAAACATTTCAGTAGTTGAGGTGGTTTTATCCAAAATATTTGTAATATCTAAAATTTGTTCGGAATCACAGCTACAATGTATAAATCATATTTTCTGACAGTTATGAAACTAATATTTTTTAAGTTTTAGTATTTCCTCTATAAAGAGTCATGCTTGAATTACATCAACTTCTTCAGCAAAGAGAAGCAAAACCTTAAGATTTATAATGCATTAACACCATTCACCTAGTTTTATATTGTAATTTATAACTTATGATACATTTGAAATCAATGCCACTTTTGATAAATTAAAATACCAACAATCAGAAAAAAAAAATCACGAATGAGATCCAGTGAAAACTAGACAAAATCTGAATGTGTGCATCTCAATGGAGTTAGTTACAAAGGTTTTGGTAAAAGATTACATACGAAAGCCCTAGACTAATTGTTTCAACAGTTAACTTCACCGCAGGATGAAATTCACCTTTTAGTCTCTATCTTGTTTTTTTTTTCACTAGATTAGAAAGTCTTTTACCATTTAAAATAAAAACAAAAAGGCTTTCCATCAAATTATCTCTTGCCTTTCTCCTAAATAATTCAGTAGTCTGAATCCTTATATTTTTCAAGATGGACTCCTTTTCTTGAGGAGAGGCAGCATATCAGCTTGGACTCAGCATGTTGCTGACATAGCCAGACAACTGGCAAACTCAGGGCCTGCTGCACCAAGCTTAACTAAAAGCAGAGACATGTTGTATGAACGTGGTCACCTTTATTGATTAAACCTGCAGTCACTTTAAACAGATGTATAACAAAAGCTAGCACCAAACTTAAGAAAATCCATTTTCCTTATAGCTGATAACAAATACCAGGCAATATAGCCATCCCTAAACTTTATTTTCTAAATTAAAAAACAACCACCACCAACAAAAAGTATTAGCATATGTACTAAGGAAAGCACCTTTGTAGAGGCAAAAGAATAGTATCTCTTTCTTTCAGAAATACATTGATAATGCTCTAAAACATGCTACACTGCTAACCAAGCCTGGAAAAGGAAACCTTCAGAAGAACTGCCATTTGACACTTACTCTTAACTGTACTGACATCCATAAATTTACATTTTTGCCTGCGTACCATTAACCTTTCACCAAGTGTATATATGCCATTAAACTTTAGCAATCAACTCTACTTACAATCTTCTGTATTTTGCTTCACAGACATATAAATAAATAGTCTATAATCAGGTACAGTAGTGTAATACATCTCTCAATTTAGCTTAACCATACACTTTTGATTCAGGAATTAGTTTTCAAAATCAGGCGTCTCTCTTCTAATGGGGTTACTCACGAAATAAGTGTCTGGTAACTTTCTCATTACAGTCACAGAATAACTTCAGTTATAAGGGTTCTCCAGAACTAACAAGTGCAATGCCCTGCTCAAAGCAGGACCAACTACATCAGGCTGCTTAGAAATCTGCCCCGTTAAGTTGTATCTATTCACATTTCCCTGTGTTCCAGCTTGTGTCCATTGCCTCTCTCATCCTTTCACTGAGCATCTCTGAGAAGGATCTGACTCTGTCCTCTCTAGACCCTCCCATTAAGCAGACATAGATACCACTATGATCACCTCTGATACTTCCCAATTTTTCACAGAGAAAACCTAGCTCTGTCAGCTTCCTGTGCTCCAGCTCCCTAAACTGTTTTCATAACCCTTTACTCCAGTATGTCCATGTCTCTTCTGTCCTGGGGAGCTCAGAATTTGACACAATACCCCACATGCATCTCAGCAGCACTGAGAATAGAGGAAGAAGCATCTCCTTTGGTCTGTTGGCTACACTCTTGGATGCTGTTGGCATTCTTTGCTGCAAGAACTGCTGACTCACGTTCAACTTACTTGTCTGTGGGGACTCCCAGATCCTTTCCCACAAACCCGCTTCTTAGCCAGCTGGCCTCTCACTTGTCTGATGGCACAGGGTTATGCCATTTTAGATGCAGGACTTCATTTGGCTGTAAAGTCACTATTACACCCTTGTAACTCTGGTACAAAATGAGTTAGAAGTCCTTTTTTAATTAACTGAGAAAGCTGGATAAAATAAAGTCTAATACAAATGTAAGACTTCTGACTGTTGAAAGATTCTACATGTAGTACATAAAAAGTAACGCAAAAACGCAGCTTAAGTGAAGACAGGAGATTGATCATCATACTAAGGATACATACGCAGACTTACACTCACCTGTCAACATTATTTTATTCAACATGGTTAGTTATTTCTTCAGTATCACTTACAAATAATAGAATGCTTCTGAGTACTTTTATAGTGCTGTAGCTTCTACGAAAACTAGTGATGGGCTAGAAACAACTCCTATGGAAAGAGGTATCACCATGTCATTAAAGAGCAGAGCTAAAGCTACCCATCTCCACTGGGGAATTGTCACAATTTGCATTGGAGCCTGTTTTAGAATTTTAGTGCAGTATGAAAGGCTTTCTAGATATACTGAGAGGCAACATTTCTAAACTTCTATTGCTCATTGTTTTAAGTAGGATATATTACTGTTTCATTTATCAGCAGGTCTAACTCCCCAGCCCAATCCCAGGAGTGCTGTCTCTCATGCTATCACTACTACCAGCTCCAACAACATCAGGACTGTGGATGACAAGAACTTCTCTGTGCAGTGCTCTCCAGCTCCCCACTTCTGCAACTGTGACATAGGAACACACGGACTGGCCTTAACGCTGCGCTGGACACTGGCCATCTCAGTGTATCTGCTTGGACTTTGTATCAGTCTTGGGAATCTGAAAGCTGGGAACCACTTATCTAAAGCAGACTACATAAAATATACTCCACTCAATGTAACGCACAGCTTATTTTCAGCCATTCCAGAAGTTAGAACTGGGTGTAAGTATCTGTCTTGCCCTGTATTTCTGAAGCACAGGAGGATGCCCCACATTGAAGAGCAAAGGAAAGGTGACCTGATGCAACTGGAGCCCATGCTACAAAGCTACAGCCAACACATACTGGGTAAAGCACACGCATACAGTAAAGCTAATTGCACCAACCCTGCCTGGAAACCTCAAGTGCATTCAGCTCAGAACCTGCTGCAGAATGGGCTGCTTGGAGGAGGAGGATGATACAAAGAGGGAGCGTAAGATGCCTTTTTATCAGCACATGGCAGTAACATTCTTAAGCGGTGGTCTTCAATGTATTCTGGTACTCTTAAATTTAAAAGTGTATGGAATGGTATGACTGCCCCTCGCCAGTACACAGAGTTTAGGTTCCATCGCTGGGGGGAGGGAGTGGAGAAGAAAAAAGGAGGGGGTCCTCTTATTTTCAAGCCTGACCTGTTATTTTGACCAACACTTCATACAGGCAAAGCTGTAAATACTGTATTACCTCAAAAGCATAACATTCTCAAGCCATCAAGATATTCCAACCTAGTCATGATAGCATCACAAATATATAAGAAATTCTTGATCTGATGGTTCTCCAACTTAAGGGTTTCAAAACCCTGATGTTGTACACTAAATAGGCAGAATTCTACACTGTCATGTACCTGACTGAAGCCTAAAATAAAAATCATAAATTAGTTAAAAGAAACAATTTTCAGACACAAAATTATTAAAAAAACAACCCCTGAATTAATTATTTTTTGTATTTGAGGTTTAGGAAATTTTAGAAGTTCAACCAGCCTAGGCCGCTTTCTTTGAAAAGAAGAGTAGGTACAATATCTCTGTCTAAACAAAGCAAAGATCACTACAGCTAGTTATTTTAATTGGAAGAAGTCTCGCTTATTTTAAGAGGTCTTCACACATTTTATAAGCTACTGAACACAGTCTTACTAAGCATACCTCAAAAACACCTCCAAGTTCTCCATTATATTCAATCCTGCCCATTTCTGGAAACACTTTACGTCAAAACGCTACTGCAGTTCAGCCATAAGAGCAGAGAGTAGTTTAACAATGCAAACAAAAAAACCAAACAACAAAACACTTAGCAGAGATAGTCCAGATTTAGTCCCTTTAGTCAAAGCCGTAAGATACAAAAAACTTGCTTGCAAAATTACGCACAACGTGTTTTAAATCACAATTATAACGGAATTACTATAGTTGCATGATTCTCGCCCCAGTATGAAAGAACCGCACAGGACACTGCCTAAGCAGCAGTCCTTGCAGCCTGCGCGCACAGAGAGCTAGGGAAGGGCTCCTCCAGGCCACCAACGGCACTCGGGCCCACCCGGCTGCCAGAGCTTGGTTAACAACCGCTCCCGACTCCGTGCACCTCCACGGCGAGCAGGGCGAAACCCGACCCTAGGGCAGCCA